ACACAGTTATGGCTGTTCTCTGGTCTGTGGCTTCCAGAGGAAAGCTGAGGCAGCTGGCCACTTGGCCGCTTTTTATGGTCTTCACATGGCGACAAAAATTTACACGTGCACTGAGCAAAATTCCCATTTATGACTGATAGAACCGGGCTCAGAATGTTTCGTTACTTGGCTACACTTTGTGGTCATTTAAAAGTTCAATTTATATTCTGATTTAGAATGCGATATTTAAGTATTAAATGGCCGTTCCTTGAGCACCTTTTTTCTCAGTGCAGCAACAACAAATTGCTGCTCTTGCTCTCGGTGTTGCTGTTGCTGTTAGTTGTTGGTGTTGCTGTTGCTGGTGGCGAATGGCTAGTGTGACAGCAGCAACATCAGAAAATGGTTCCATACACCGACTTGTTTTGGTGAGTGGAGTGTGGAGCTCCTGGGCAACGACTCTAGAGTTTAGCTGCCAGCATTTTTGTGGTTAGCTGAACTTGTTTTTGTTGTTGTAATTGTTGTTTATTAGCAACAAGTTTTGCATTTTGATTTTTTCTCTTTTTTCCCCAAGCCAGTGTGGCCCCACAGCACTTCGCCGCATGTCGCATTGTTTGGCCGTGAGTCAATTCCGGAGCGGGATACTGGCTTATTCGCCACGGACCGGGTGTGACTCTCAAGTTAAAATCCAATCGCAATTCCACGCAGCGACTGTCTGGCTAAAAGATTCAAATTATCCCCGTGTGATTCAGCAAATACCTCAAAACAAACCCCAAAACAGAATAAGCAGAAATCGGTGAGCGATTTGGAAACTGGGTAAATAAGGCCATGCACCTTCAATCGGCAAAAAGCAGAAACCCAAAAGAAAAAAGAAGAAAAAATCTTGGCGGCAATAAGCCACAGCATCATGATCACCACGACGATCGGCAAATAGTAAAAAACGAAAACGAAACGAAAGAAAACAAAGCGAGGGAAAAGAAAACGGCCCAAAGAAACCAGCTCTCTTCAGAAATCTTCAGCGAAGAAGATGCTCGACCTGGAGATGGAGATTCTTCTGAGAGTTAAAAACTCACTCAGCCAGTAGAAATTGAATTGATGGCTGGGCTGGGGGATATATGGGTATGGAAAACCGGATTTCAGCCTGGTCCCCAAAACGCAGGGTATCTATATTTATAAATAGCCACACAGCTTTCCGATATATGGACTATATGGTATGCTGGTGCAGTGAAATCTCCTCTGGCGGCTAATGGGAAAACCAGGGTCAATCCAAAAAACAGGTAGTTCGGAATCATTAGGTTTTATGGTGAGGGTGGAAAAACGCAGCTGGTCAAGTGTGAGAGTGTTTGCTTGTATTCATTTTCCCGAGAAGAAACCCCGATTACAAACGATTTTACCTACCCTGTAGTTTTCGGTTCCAAAATCCAATGGGTACCGCTCGATGTTAACTGGTATGGGTGCGTGTTGCATACGTGTTAGGTAAATTCCAATATGTGGTCTGGACTGCCTCACGTATGTTGCAGATACTTGGGCACAGCGATACTGGTTTTTGGGATATCGTAGAGTTGCCCGTTTGTAAACGAATGATAATGATGCGCCGATGCGATGATGAGTGATGAGTAATCCCGGCAAAAAGGGTAAACACTAGCACTTTACATCCAGAATGTACACCACTTCTTTTTTGTCGTACGGTTAGTGCAAAACCTTTACACGCTCGATGGTTTTGTCAGCCATAAAACATTGCCGCGAGACGAATCACAAAAAACATTATAGATATATATGCCCGTGTGTACATACATATATACATCTGAAAAACTACCTGACGCGCAGCGTGCGCCATAAAACTAAAGGCAAACACTGAACTGAATTGAGCTCTTGTTGTTGTTTTTGTATTATTTTATAACGCGACTCGCTCGCGTTTATCGCTCTTTTTCGCTCGCACTCGGACACGTCCACCTGCGTCGCCGTCTCAAAGTAAACTAAACCCAACTACGTTGAAAACAAGTTTTCGAAATGCTGCTAATGTTGCTGGCTGGCTTCTTGGCAACATTTCAAGTGGAAGCGAGATAAGCAACACGCACACAGTGCAATGCTCGCTCGCCAGCAACACGCAACATGTAGCCGGAGTGGTACAGTGCGGACGTTTGTTGTTGCCGGCTTTTTGGCTGTGCCGCGTGCAGTTGTTGTTGCTGCCACTGCTCGTTGGTCGTTGGCACTGCCCCACACCAACATTTTTGCTAGGGTAGTTCGGACTGCTCTCTATGTAGCATCCGCTGCAGGGGTATATTGCGTTTCGAAGGTTTTTCGGAGGTGTGGGTGGTTTATTAAATTTACGTTTCAACGAGGACTAACGCCGATGTCCTCAAAGTTTGTTTAATTCATTAGCGCTTTGACAGCTCGCAACTTTTTTTTATTTTTTTTTAGTACAATGCTATTAAGTGCAGTGGAAAGAGTACTTATGGAAAAACCAACAAATCAAGCGATTGCCTCTTGGAAAGTGATAAATTGGCAAATCGATTAAATTACCAAAAAGAAACTGCATATAAAACAACCCCAGGAATCCAGAAATGCCATATTCAATTCAAGAGAAATCTCTGGAATATTCTTGGTATCTCTAGTTGATAACCCCTTAAATAGTTTTAAGATAGTAGTTAAGAAATTCATGCACAAGTGGAAGTTACTTTTTTTGTTTTATTTCTTTTTGAAAAAATCGGTGAACACTATAATTTAATAGAGCGTGATTTAAAAAAAGATCTGAAACACACCTGCATCTTTACAAAAGTCTTAATTTTGTATTTACAAATACGAAGTGCACATAAGACTACTTAAAATACCTTTGTAGTATTTCAGTAAGCCCAATTAATTTGCTCATATCTTTACAGTACCACACTAGTCGAGTTGGGCTCTTAAGTTTTCAAAGTTGTTATTTTCCAAGCAGTGCTACATCCGTTTCGTATTTACACTGAACGAACACAATGAATGCGCTTATTTGTCCCTCCTTCCAGTTCCCTCGAGATAAAGCCGCCTGCCTGGCGCTAAATATTTGATGAAGCTGCAAAAGGCAGACAGAGGAAAAAGATACGAGTAGCAGATAGTGGATACCAGATACAGATACATTCGCAGGCCCAGATGGATTGGATAGAGATGGCTTGCTGCATAGACAAGCTGTCTGCCAGCTAGTACTTCAGTTGTAGCTTTCCCGCTTTTCATTTGCCAAATGCAAAATGGATGTTCATCTTGGACATGTTTGCTCTCGACTGTCAAATGCTCGACAAAGTGGGCGTTTGCGGGTCGGTCGGGGGTGGCAGGTCAGAGGTTATGATGGTTTCGTACCTCTTGTCATTTACCTCATTTGCACTTGAGAATTTATTTCGTCCTGCGGCGGGCTACGAATGCTGTATTTACTTATTTACACTGACCTTTCCCACATGCACTCGGAAAAATGTCATTATCTATATAAAATGACACAAAATAAAAAATTATTAAAATTTGATTAAGCTATTTAAAAAACTTAACTATATTTGAAGTACTTACACATTTCATTTTATACAGCATACAATAGAAAAAATTTATATTTGTAGCTGGCTGTTAGGCACTGATTAGCTTCTGTAGCATACTTTTGCAAAATGAGGCAATGAATTTCTTGCAGTGCATACCGTCCCCAGCCAGTTGTTGCTGTTGACTTTGCCATCGTTTATCTTATCTGAGGAGATGTCGTCGCCGGATGATAATAGTAGAGACAACGCCTTTGCATTTGTCTTTACCTCCATGGGTCTTTACCACCCCCAACACACCTCCAGTACACAGTACCCAGTACCCAGTAACCAGTATCCATTATCCATGGCATATGTATGAATTGCCGGTGTGGCTGTTGGGCACATGTCTTGGCATTTCCATTTCCATTTGCATTTTCAACAATTGTCAATTGTGGAGGACGCACTGCAGCATTGCGCCGGCAATGGCAAGGGATATTTGCATACGTAAGAGTGTGACGAGAGTACGTAACATTTGTCTGCACGACGACAAGCTCACTTTGATGCCATCAAAGCCGCCCCCAACCACTAGGAAGACAAACATCCCCATCCCCATCCCCATCCCCATCCACATCAACATCAGCAACTACAACTGCAGCCAAGCAAGTTGGCAAAGTTTGTGCCATGCTTTTCGTCTGGCCTTTGTTTGCCCCCTCCCCTTGTTGTTGTTGTTGCTGTTGGTTGTATACAATTTGCATAAAACTCAAAACGAATTTATTTTGAAAAGCAACTTTACTTCTCTGCCGGCGAGCTGGTCATCCGCTTTAAGTTCACACCCGCACCAGAGAGCTCATCTCCTCGGCAGTCATTACACATTTTGCGACCAGGACCTGCCTGTCCTTTGAGCACCAGGTGCAGCTTGCATATTCATGGCCAAAGCCAACCCAACTACCGGAATCCTGGTAGGATTCCAGGACAAGAGCTCAACACTTCCCCATTCCCGTGGGCTAACCATCTTCCTAACCATCCAGGTGAAGTGGGTGGAAATGACCTCGTCAGTCGCCCGGCAAATGAACTTTAATTAAATGCTAATAGTTAAAGTTGCTTTGAGCGCAGTTTTTAGTCCGAGTTGTTTGAGTAAATACGCACGGTGGGTAAACAGGATGTGCACGTGGATTTGGTGCCTGCAGCAGACAGCCGGATGTGGAAGTGCCAGAGGTGTGATCCTTAGCAGAAAACCACTTGACAAAGTGCAGCGGTGAAACTCTGGTTACTTAAGTCTAGAGATTGTTTATATCCCATAGGTGTTTACTGAATTTAGGGCGTGTATTTTTCTAGGCTGACATTTAAAATATGCAATTTCCCTACAAAAAGTAGCTCAATATTATTTTTATAAATTTTATCGCAAGGTTATAAGAAGTTTTGGAATTTACCACCTTTGAAGTAGGAAAATGGGTATTCGAAATGTATTTGAGTTTCTCAAGCAATAAATAAAAGTTAAACGTATTATTTATTGCTTTATGTGTCAGTTATGTTCAGATATTAGTACAACACTTCTTCTTCACCCATTTTTAAACACTTTTGTACCAAACCACACCTATTTACTCTTGAACAAACACGTTTACTCAAATTTACCGCGGAGTTAAGTGAGTTCGTAAATCAAAAGACCAATCCCAACGCACTGAAAATGGGCAAGAGATCGCAGAAGAACAGTGTGCTGATGGTCTGTGTGGGTGCGTATTCCCTCGTAAAAACTAGTCCTGGATACTTTTGTAATCATTATGCAAATGGACTGCGCCGCAGGCAACCTTTGCCGCTCCCCAATTGCCGAGGCTGTGATGCGTGACGTGGTCGCGAGGGCGGGACTGCAGGCGGAGTGGCACGTGGAGAGCGCCGGGATCGAGGGATGGCACTCCGGCCGCCGACCGGATGAGCGGGCTCTGAACGTCCTGGCCAGGCACAACCTCGACTACTTTGGCACTGCGAGAGTTCTGGCCCCGGAGGACTACCTCAAGTTCGACTATATCTTCGGCATGGATCTGAGCAACCTAGCCGCCCTGAGGCGTATGGCCCCCAAAGGCGCCACTGCCAAGTTGCTTCTCCTGGGGGACTTCGGTCTCAGGCCAGATGAACGCATCCTCGAGGATCCCTATTATGTGAGTTGATAGTTACCATATGTGCCTGCGCCTATGCACAAAGTTATTTCGTTAGTTAGTAGTTATATTATTAGAAGGTATGAATAGGCTCGTTTTAAGAAATTTTTCAGTTCAGAAACATTGCTAAGCAAATCGATAACAATAACCAATCGATAGCAAATCAATTATACCCTAAGTTTCCAAATATAATAAACGGATTAACTTTTTTTTACCCAATATATATTATGAGAATGAATATATATTTTTATATTTTCCAGGACATTGGCGAGGCACCATTCGAGCAAATTTACCGGCAGTGCAAAATAGCGTGTAAGAATTTCCTAAAGCAAGCGCGTTTAAAACAGATAATGTAAGGAGCGCCAGACACCCGCCTAAGGGTTAAGCCGTCCGACCGACCACAGCTGATAAGCCGCGTTGCCAACTAACAGTTGAAGCCAGGGCTGCAACGTTCGGAACGCTCATTTGCCAGCCGGTAAAAGAAAACAACACACAAAATTGTCCGTGAAATCCCCGTGTAAATTGACTAAAAGATGGTTCGAAAAGTGCTAATGATTTGCTTGGGTAGTACAGAACAAATTTATCTTATATACGCCATTAATATATAGATCCACTGATCTTTCAGGCAACATCTGCAGATCGCCAATTGCGGAGGTCGTGATGGTGGACACCCTGGAGAAGGCGAATGTGAAGGACGTGGAGGTGGATAGTGCAGCAATTGGAGGCTGGCACGTGGGCAACCGGGCGGATCCGAGGGCCATCAGCACTCTGCAGAAGCACGGCCTCAAGTGCACCCACATCGTTCGGCAGATCCGCAAGCAGGACTTCTCGGAATTCGACTACATCTTCGGCATGGACGAGGACAACATGAGCGAGCTGAGGCGTCTGGCGCCCAAGGACTCCAAGGCGGAGCTCCTGATGCTGGGCGATTTCGGACTCGAGAAGAAGAACCGCATCATTGAGGATCCCTACTATGTAAGACACTCCTGATTCCACCTGACTAGGATACGAAGTTGCAGTAGAGCTATGTAGATGAGGGAATAGATCATCATCATGATCAATCAAGATAAAAATATCCCAAGCTTACATATAAAAAGTAGTAAGATACAGGAGCCTCTAAGGTAGTTGTCCTTGTCTACAAAAGATATATGAAGTTTGTTGAACGTAGATAAATTTACAAAAGTCTTTCAGATTAAGAACCTTAATTAAAAGTATCCCATTACACATTAAAAACTGATTAAAAGCATAAGCTAATTACGATCCCAATTTGTTCCTTCAGGAGCGTGGAGCCGAGGGCTTTGAGACCGCCTACCAGCAGTGCGTGGTGGCCTGTGCCGCCTTTATGAAAGAGCGCCTCCAGAAATGAATGATTTGTAAAAGTGTTGTGATATGGATAATCTAATAAATGTTGATACTAAACGTGAACCGGTTTATATATTATATATATTCAATGAATCAGCTGCGTTGGTCATCGGAACTTGCAGTTCCCATTCCGAAAATGAAGGTTCTGTTCGTGTGCATTGGTAAGAGTCCACAAACAAGAGAAAAACTCTAATTTACAGTCTTACTTACAGGCAACACCTGCCGATCTCCAATGGCCGAGGCCATCCTGAAGCATTTAGTGCTGAAACGGAATCTACAGGACTGGTATGTGGACAGTGCTGGCCTCAGGAACTGGAACGTTGGCGTGGAGCCTCAGGCACGTGGACAACAATTGCTAAAACAACATGGTCTGAAAACAAACCACTTGGGTCGTATGGTAATATGCACTACTAACCAAGGAAGCCTTCTGATCTTTTTTATCACTCTTATACTCGTAGATAACTGCTCAAGACTTCTACGACTTCGATTACATATTCAGCATGGACAATAGCAACCTGCTGGAGCTTCAGCAAATGGCAGCTAGACTTAATCCCAGTCCGACGTGCCAGATTCAATTGCTGGGCAGCTATATTGGTCGCAAGGAGGATGAGATCATCGAGGATCCATACTTCGTAATTTAAGAAATTTTAGTTTTTTAGTGAGTACCTACAGTTGTGCTTCCATCCACAGAGTCAGGGCATGGGAGGATTTAATGCTGCATACCTGCAAATACTGGAGAGCTGCGAACGTTTTGTGCAGCATTATAAATCAGACGATAAGGCGATTTCCATTGGACGTCAATAGATGTGTCACCAAAATATAGGTTGTACAAAATATGCATCACTTGTAGGATTATTTTTACAAATATATTTCTATTTCAAAGCTTATTTCGCTTATATTCAGGAGAGTATTTCTTATTAAGAAGAACGAGTTAAAATGCCAGAAGTTGCCGTTTAACTTTACTAATGAATTATAAACTCTTTGGCTGTTTATTTTCCGTAATAAGTTAATTTAAAATACTCTGCCATTCAGCACATTGTCTGTGAATCGCGACCAGCTGAGTTCCAGTATTTTGAAAGCTTTCGTCTGTTCCTCCTCCGTCAGCGTGGAGTAGCGCACCGAATTCCACACCAGAGCCTTCAGGACCTTTAGCCCCGCATTGTTGGGCGCCAGGCTCATGATGGCATAATAGAAGTCGTAGCTCAGGCCCTTGGCATTCCAGAACCCAGGATCATCGTTGCATATCACCACGGGCACATCGAGGGCCAGATACTGGGCACCCGGATGGTTGCGCATGTCCCAAACCAGATGGAGAACCTGATTCGAAATGGGATTAAGCTCCACGGCAATCCGGCGCGACTTCACGGCATTCATAAGGATGGGATGCTTGGCCAGAGCATAACCATGGCCAATGCGAGTGGTGTTCAGCAACAGAGCATCCAGCAGATTGATGTCCGTTGAGGCACCAAACCAATCTGTAAGGAATCAATCAATCTATTGATGATGAACTCTAAGAAGACTACCACTTACTGGTCTCTCCGCCATGTAGAAAAAGCCGAGATGTTGGCGGAAGATCTCTTAGGACAGGCAGTAAGGAATAAAGTGGTTTTCCCTTGTCCTCTTGACCCACCAAATCGAATCCAACCAGAAAGTCGGGCCATGCTTGGCTAAAAAAGTAACGTGAAATTAACTACTCTTCGAAATCAGCGCCTTGAACTTACTGCAAGGCCTTAAATTCCTCAAGGAGATTGTTAAGCCGATCCACTTTAAAGCCACGATAGACGGCCATAATGATTTTGAAGCCCAGAAAATCCGGATGCAGCTTCACAAACTTCTCGTTAATGGCATAGAGCTCGCGTATAGTACGCTCTCTGGGAAAAGTGCGTCCACTGGCGTCATAGATCTAACGTTATAGAGTTATAGAATTACAATTAGCTTGAATTATTATTAATTATATATGCTATTTTATCGCTTCCAACCATTTTGCAACTAGTCCGAATCTCTGCGTACATCACATTGTCATTGTAAAGCTCCTCCAGCATCTGCCAGTGATAAGCGCGAAAGGCAGGCAAATAGGTTAGGGCATCGTTCAGAGTGTCGAACATGTCCTGGAACCGATCCCAAACATGGGTAATTGTGGGGTACTCCACTGTAGGAAATATTAATATTAAGTCGCCCGGAAATGGATAACAGTGACTTACGCTCTGGAACTGGGGTGTACAAATTGATCAGGCGTTCGAAATTCCGATCGTAGATCTTGCGATCCAACGAGTTACGCCGCTCATCGGAAACAAGCACGTATTGCGACTGGCATCTGTGCTCCTTTGGGGTCCTGCGGAATGTCAGGACACTTCGCCCTGTAGCCGTCGTGCAGCGCAGCAGACCGGGCATGTACGACAAGTCGTCCACCACCCACTTGGAGCTCACGGATGCGGTGTTGTGCAGGTGAAGCACCGCGCCCTTGGGCATCTTCTGAAGAAACCGGAATATCGCACTCCGATCAATCAGCGGCTTTGCCTTGAAAAAATGCAGAGCTGCCGCATTCTGATCCGCATTCCGATATCCTTGGGCCAGCTCTCCGAGCTTGTACTCCATGAATATATCGTCCACCTTGGCCTCCTGCGTGTTCAGGTACGTGTGTCCACCAGTCATCAGCTCCTCCTCCGCCGTGAGAACAGCTTGCCGTGCTTGGTCATAGCCTAAAGACAATTTGGTAGGTCTTTAAAAAATTCAAGGAAACACTTCCGGGGAGCTTTACTACTTGAATTTATTAATATTAATAGTATTGCTGGCCCTAAACGCATTGACCCACTTCACCTACTTTGTTATTTCGCAACAATGTCAGTTTGTCTACAGGTATCGTCCAAATAAAAAGATCCATCAAATTAGAAATCGCCAAATCTATAGTTCTTGCTGGGAGTGTCAATTGGGATAGTAAAAAGGCAGATAAGAATATCATCTCTGATGATATCATATATCAGTTGAGGATACATGGCATTTAACGCTTCAAATATTCTGATTCTGATATACCTCACAAATCAATATCACTTATTGGAAAGAATGAATCCCTTAAAAGAGCTGAACTCATACTTAGAGCAGTTTGTGCCTGGATCTGAAGTTGGGAAGTCAGGAGCACTACACATATAATCAATCGTCCCATTGTGCTCAAGGACATTCACTGCCTGTCCTGTCCCTTGCTAATGAGTTCACAATCCAAATATTGACTTGACTCCGCCGGGCACGTGGACTTATTATATTTATTATCGACTTGGGAACTGGCGACTATTTTCTCTCCTCGCGACCGCTCGCCAGAAGTGTCCGATTAGAACTGTGGATACCATTGTGAGCGGCTGGGGCTCCGACCAAGAAAAGCATAACTATAATTTTGACAAAATCATTCAGCGAAGCCCGCTCATACAAAAAATTAGTGCAGAGGTGGAGCCGGGGATCGTGGAAGCGATTTCATTCTGGAAGCCGGATCGTTTGGGTATCTTTTTTGTATAGTCGCATATCTGAGCGATTGAATGCCAGCCGCGCATATTAAGTGATTTAAAAACGTCGAAGGCGTGCGCGCCCGTCGCACACTTATTTTAAACTATTTGAATTGTTTCTATTTTGGCAAATTTTCACTGACGTTGACGGACGCGGTTGTTGGTTTCCAACAGCACCCGGCGCTGGAATTACGAGTTCCTCGAATCCCCCTTATATTCCACCTTATAAAGTGGTTTCGATGCTTTTGAAACTTACGGTAATTACAGATGTGCCAATTATCGCAGCTTACACAAATGACATTTACAAAGTAATGTTTATTTTTGCTAGCTTTTTTCTATACCAGGCAGATGGCAAATGGTAGTTTATAAAAAAGTTATAGTCATCAAGCTCACATTGTTATTTTTGGTGAGAATTATAGTTCAATTACAGATAAATGCTGTTGGAAACTGTAAACATATTATCCTAAAACGATAATCTTGCAAAGTTTTTAATAAAACTATTTCATTTCAGCGATAGTAATACATACTTCACAACTGAATCTATATTCTACATGGATGCAAATGTTTCATATACTTCAAAGTTCCCATGAGTGGATTGCATTTCCAGGAGATTTCCCTGTTATAATCAATGGCCCCATTTCACGTTCAATGTCAAGTATAATTTCGGCGGGCAAACAGTGCAAATTGGGTTAGTCAACAATATGCAAAAATATGCCCACAATCGCAATGTTTTCACATATGTATGTACAAAAATATAGCGCTACTGATAGAACCATAAAAGTGCGGCTTTGGTGTTCCTCGCAATACCCTATATACGATTAGCCACGACTGCGATGCCTACCCTGGCTATATATTCTATGCACCCAGATTTATATTTACATACAGTATCACTGTGAAGAAGGGCATTTTGGCACTGGGCATGCTACGTCACCGAATGTTTTCGCAAATTGGACGAGGGGCCAGTGTCAACGAAAGTGCCAACCCGGGGACATCCAAACATTTCGCGCCCCATGCCGGAGCGGACTAATCTCCGTCATTGAACTGCACCAGATGCCGCTAGTCCCACACCGACCAAGATCATGATCAGTGTGGAAATTGCACAAGCCGTATACGGGTCGGTTTCCCAAGCGGTGGCCACTATCAGTTGTTTGGCGAGCGCCAAGAGTCGCGGATCGAGTAAAATACGGCGTACGTACGCAATCGGAGCTGAGATTACTGGAGGGCGATGTGGTCACTGGTAGCTTTGGTAGCCTCCGTTTTGCTCCTCATGGGCAGCCTGCAAGCTACGGATATCCGTAAGTTCCGGAGGATCCGAAGGTTCCAAGTCTTCAGTTTCCCATTTTTTTGGGATCACTAGATTTTTAAAGTTGTTCGTATGACGCACTCTGCACCTGAAATGTTTTTGATAACCTTCTTCTTATATACATATGTACATACATTAATCGCTATGAATCTGGTTAAAAATATTTGATTCAGGCATATGTTTTAACGAAAATAAAAATGTCTAAAAAATTCACAGTTAGTATCGAGCATGCATGCTTTTTTCCATGCTTATTGTACGGAAAAGTCATGAAAAAGTACATTAACTCGTATTGTTACTATGTTCGGTTTTGAAAACTGCCTATCTCAAATGCAAGTGTGAAAACAAATGATAAAAGGTTTCCAACAAATTATGACAATTAAACAAACCACTTTCCAATTAGATTATTAAAACAGAAGAAATAAGTAATATATTTATATAATTGCAATGGTGAGTGCACAAGAGTAAGGACTTTACATTTCACAATTGCATCCAGCAGCTTATGAAACACTGAGGGAGCAGATCATGGAAGCGGAGCGAGTGGCCTCACTGGGGGGCAACATCTGGCTGTCGTCGGACGAGGAGAAGGCCAACAGCATCCTGATGAACGCCAAGCGGGCGGAGATCGCCGAGGGGCTCAAGACGCCGGAGAAGTACGCACCCGCGATGCACTTCTTCCAGGGCAGGCAGTACGTCCGCCAGAGCGAGGTGTTCCGAATGATCCAGAAGATGCCGAAGGGCGCCTTCCTGCACGGCCACAACACGGGCATGGTGACTTCCCGCTGGATCATCCAGAACCTGACCACCACCAATAACCTGTACACCTGCCGCAATGTGGACGGACTGCTGGTGTTCACCTACGATCAGTCCGGATGCCATAGCGAGGTGCAGAACGTGTGCACCGAGCGGATTAATGCCGAGGATCGGGGAAAGTACGAGCGCCAGCTGGAGAAGCACATCAATATGCATGGTCCCAGGCCGGAAGGTGAGCATAACACCTTCAGTATAAATACCGACCTTCTTAAGCCCTGGACTTATAGCTCTATTGCCGAAACGGAAGAAGATATGGGAGCGCTTTGAGAACATATTTACCACCGTGGATCGGCTCTATAAATACCGACCCACCTACTGCGCCTATCATAAGCGCATGTTGGAGGAACTTTGTGAGGATAACATCATCTACGCCGAGATACGAGCCTCCCTATCGCCGGTGAGTAATCGTGGGTAATATCTTAGATTATGATATTAAAACTACAGCCATTAAAACAGCTCTACGACGACAATAACCGAACTCTGAGCACATTGGAGGTGGCTAACGAGCTGGAACGGATTGTGGAAGAGTTCAAGGCCAAGCACCATGACTTCGTCGGCCTTAAGGTGATATATGCGAAGCGGAATCGAGCATCCGAGGAGGAGATGTTGAGACGGATAACCACTTTTAAACAGCTACAGTAGGTGTATATAATTATTAAATGAGACTCAATTTTCACCTTTTGAAAAATAGCATAATCCTCATAGCATAATACTCATAAAACCTTATTTGCTGCAGCCATGCCAAACCGAACTTTGTGATAGGATTCGATCTAATTGGCCAGGAGGACACTGGAGATCCACTGAACAGGTATATAAACCAACTTTCCGATCTTCCCAGTACGGCAAACTACTTCTTCCACGCCGGCGAGACGAGTAAGTAATCCGAATCCTATATATCCTGGTTGGCCATCCCAACTATCTATAACTAACTATAGATTGGCATGGCCGGACGGACTGGAACATGATGGACGCCATTCTGCTGAATACGAAGCGGATTGGACATGCCTTTGCCCTGCCCAAGCACCCACAATTGTGGTCCACCATCAAAAAGCGTAACATCGCCATCGAGGTGAACCCCATTTCCAACCAGGTCTTGGGCTTCGTCTGGGATCTGCGGAATCATCCGGCCAGCTTCCTGATAGCCGAGAACTTTCCCATCGTAATTTCATCCGATGATCCGGGTGTCTGGGGAGCCAAGGGTCTCAGCTACGACTTCTACTACGCCTTCATGGCCTTGGCCCCGGCGGAAGCGGATCTGCGCTTCCTCAAGCAGCTGGCCTTGAACTCCATCAAGTACGCAGTGCTCACCTCCGACGAGCGGCGGAAAATCAATCGGGTGTTCCAGCGCAAGTGGCAGGAGTTTATTGCGAATGTCTTGAACCCAAAGTTCTAAGTTCTAATATAACAGGTTCTAGTCTAACTCTAAATGTAATACTGGGTAGATGCTATGCCCTATCTCCTAAGCTAAGTGGTCCCCTTGCAGCCGTCTTCCCATAAAAAGACTTGGTATCTAAATGGCATTGGGTGCAAACCATCCATGGAGGCACTTGGGCACCGGGCCATTGGTGTGAAAATCACAACGACCCAGTTCGGTCATCGTTTTGGCACATAGTACAATAAGACCCACATAGCGATCGTTGAGACCACCCACCACCATGGAGGCCAGGATAACGCCATCGTCCTCGGATTGCGGATCCGGCGAGGGCACAAAGATGGGCTCACTGGGATACACATTGTCCTCGCACCATGTTAGACAGGTCTTGCTCCACACATCCACCTTGATGAGCTATAAGAATAGGGTTATACATTACTGATATAGGAAAGAGCTATTGCTACTTACGGTTCCCGGATTCTCTGCATCCACATCGGAGCTAATGGCGTAGAAGTATCGGTAGTTCTTGCCCATAAAGCGTTCGTAATAGATCCTGGGAGTTTCACAGCCCCAATCACAGAGCATTTCCGGGCGCAGTAGGATGCCATTGGTGCCCTGGAACGCCGCAGCCTGACTGCCCTCCAGGGTGACCAGATTAACAAGGTTCTCCTCCTCATACCGGCCCCGCTTGGCATCCCGCCTGGGACTTTCCTCTCCAGCCGTAGTCTGTTTGCCATTGGTGGGCATGTAGGTAATGTCCGCATACTGCGATACCGAGTGCTTCATAGTGCGAGGAGCCTGCGGAGCACTTAGGCCAGCAAGGGAGAAGGACTTGACCAGTCGCCGTCTTGCGGTACTCGGCGGAGGAATCGTGCCCAAGGGCAGGACAAATCTCAAGGGGCGTCCCCGAAAGAGGGTAGCATAATTGGGATTCGTTTGCATATTGGCAATGGCCTCCAGGTACATGCAGTTGATCATCTCCGGATTCCTGTAGCTGCATATGTCCACCACCACATGGCCATCCAGCTCAAAGCAGTTGATGATGTGCAGGTAGAAGAAGGCCTCCGATTCGTAGGTCTGCACCAGCTTCCCGGAGACCCGATCTATGAGGTGGAAGAGTGTCGGCCGATCCTCGAACCACTTGAGGCAGGCCGATAAGTTCTGTCCACCTAGCTGGGCTTTTA